CCCCAAAACCCCAAAACCCCAAAACCCCAAAACCCCAAAACCCCATATAACCTCATTTCGATAAATAATATATAAATATGAAGAGAAATAGTGCAAACCTTCAAGCAAAGAGTGTTAAAAAGTAAGCCAATTCTTACTAGCAGCCACAGGACTCTCTATCTTAAACTTGGACATATGCATCTAACTGTCCTTGAAGCCTACATTATTAAATATTACTTTAAACAGATCATCAGAGTTTCTTAGGTTACATTTTAGATGGATAATACTAGGTATACTACCATGAGATAACTATATTCTGGCTCAAAGGCATCACTCTTTAAATTTACTCTGATCTAGTATAGTAAATATTATTTTCCAACTTCCCTCGTGCTAAGAGCAATGAGCTCATTATGCAAATTGCTTCACCAAAAACAGCTTACTGCTTTGTATTTGACTAGTTTCAAATTTACCTAATAATGTTATGATAAACTCTAGTTTTTTATCATCAAATTTTAGCTGTGGAGGAATGATGCAACATTTGGATCCAAGAAACTTAATCTCGCGACCAATATGCAATTTCAAAAGGCTAGGCTCCAAACATAGTGCAAGCGTTACAGCAATGAATCTTACTCCAAATTATGATTTAGTCCAATTTCAACGCCAAATGAGCTCAGCAGGGCCTCCTGGACCTGCAACAGTCTCTGTATCTTGCCTTTCAGAGTATGAAAATAAATCTGAACATAAGACTCCTTCCAAAGGGAGTCTCTTAAAGACAATAGAAGATTTAAATTTAAATGCTCTGAAGCTAGGAGTAAACTCAGAAAAACCTAGGCATAAATACCAAAAGTCTTATGGTAAAAATTTTACTTACTTTTAGACATCCAGAATAGAATGCAGATACTGAACAACAAGAAAGTTATTGATATGCGGAAAAGTCCCACTGAACTTACTGGCTCAGCCTGTAAGTCAACGATTTCCGTAAAATCTGAACTTAAAAAGAAAGCAAGGAAATTTGTCGGCTCACTTGTAATTGACAAAAAGTCGAAGTTATACCAACAAACTCATCTAGGATCAAAGAGTTATAAGGAGTTTGAAAAAACTGGGTAAATTTTGAACATAACCTTTGCTGTAAACCATATTATGTAATAGAAGTTTTAGCTAATTGATATTGGCTAGGCCTTATAAGAATCCTGCATTTTAAAATAAATAAGCTCAATTTAGAAACGATGAAATTATAAACATGGTTCATCTAACAAGAGAATTGCCCCATTTAATTACTGCTATCAGCAATATTGAGAGAATATAACCCTTCTGTAGTGCCTCTTTGCTATTGATAATCATAAACCTCAAATTTGAATTTGGACCACCTCACTAGTGCAAATATCTGGAATCAAAATTTGCATAACAATTTATTTAAAAATATTCAAAGTCTCACTCTATCATATCACTTCGGTCCATCCCTTGGCTTCCAAGAGTTTATTCAAAACGACCTAACCCTCCCTCTATAGCCCAGCACAAGGGCCGGCTGACCGGAGCTGAAATACCATCCCTAAAAATATTCTCTCAGAAAAACTCATCGGAAGGCTCAGTTCAGAAAAGGTAAGAATTATTACGAGTTTCCAACACATTTATCTAATTACATCTTTAGAGTAAAAGAGCAAAATGGGCTCTCAGCAGGAAGATCCAAACCAGAAAGACGATAACAGACACTAGCATCGCTCATGCGAGGATGCTAATATTACTAGAGTACAAATCTAGGAAAGACCGTGATTTTGAGAGGCAAAGAGTAATTAAGACCTTCAAATAAAGGAGTCTTACAAATGTGTCTGAAGGTTTTTAATGAGTTCAAAAATTTGAACAAACAGTAAGTATCTTTATCAATTTCGACCAACCTGCTCTCATACTTAAAATATTTCAAAACTTATCAAACCTCTTAAAGCATATGGTCCAAATTTCCTCTCAGAGCCTTCATTTCATAATTTCTTAAACAAAGCTAATATTTTTAAAGCAAGAAATACACATTACCAAAAGTGGTGATGAGACGCAAGGCAATTGTAGATCAGCTGTTTAGTACTATCCAACCTGATCTGAGCAGAAAAGACCGACATTCGTCAAGTACTGAAGGATTTCCACATAAATTTCATCTTTGGAATGGAACTAGAAGGAATGCTATATCCACCATAAAAATAGCAAGTGCAATGTTTAGTCCTTCAAACTCTAGAGGAAAAAGTATGGATTAAATTTTTAACTCTTTTAGCTCCTGATCTTGTGTTGCCTGAACATATGAGAGAAGTTCTAGATGAGAGGTAAGCCCCACAAATATCTAATCCCCTAGCAAACGATCTCACAAGAAGTTATTCAAAGATTTCACTGGAGCAATCTCCACCCAAAAATCACCCCACGCTTCAGTTTCAAGAAACCCTTTAATAAAGAGAATAATAAAAATTGATCATAGGACGAAAAAGTCTAAAAATAGAATTTCAGGTAAATCCACCACCTAAAATTCAGAAATAGGCAAACCTCTCTTTGCGAACGATGAGGACAGGACGAGGGCTGGGTCAGGCTCCCTCTACACAATGAAGAGACTAAAAAAAGTGAATTCTGCGCATACCTCAAAGATGTACTCAGACTTCCAAGAGTCCTCAAATAATACACACCTTCAGAGGATTAGAACTAAACTTGAAACGCAGCCAAAGTTCACAAAAATCTTTCACAGATATATGAAACGGGATGTCTCGAAGAAGGAAGAAGAACAAAGACATGCTACGAGACAAAGAATGGGTATTATAACGTAACAGTGAAGCTCAGCCACTTCCTATAGTATTGGCTTCCATATTGAAGGCGTTTATATATCATTTTTCAATTAAAAAATGACTAAATGGGGTTTTGGGGTTTTGGGGTTTTGGGG